CAGCTGGAATTCTGGGGCTCCTCCCTGCAGCTGGAATTCTGGGGCTCCTCCCTGCAGCTGGAATTCTGGGGCTCCTCCCTGCAGCTGGAATTCTGGCTTCTCCCTGCAGCTGGAATTCTGGCTCCTCTCCTCCCTGCAGCTGGAATCCCGTGCCCACGGCTGTGTCCAGCCCCTGTGGCCGTGTCATGGCGAGGGAGGGACTTCGGGTCCTGGCAGGGCTCAGGGACCTTCCCCAGCCCCATTCACCCCCCAGGTCCTGGCAGGGCTCTCAGGGACCTTCCCCATTCCCCCCAGGTCCTGGCAGGGCTCTCAGGGTGGCTGCTGTCTCTGTCTCTCTCTCTCTCCTGTCCCTCTCCCAGCCCATTCCCTGTGTTCACAGCTCCTTTCTCCCGTTTTTCCCCTCCCTCTGTTGGATTTGCAGGTCCGGACTCGGGATTTGGGCGGTTACTCCACCACTTCCGACTTCGTCAAGTCCGTCATTGACAACCTGCACCCCCACTACGGGGCTTAGACCCCCGGCAGCCCCCCCAGATCCCCTCCCCAGCCCGGGGCAGGCCCAGGAACCCCGGGACAATCCCTGAGCCTTCCCTGGGGGAACCCCGGGACAATCCCTGAGCCTTCCCTGGGGGAAGAGGAACCCCGGGACAATCCCTGAGCCTTCCCTGGGGGAGGAGGAACCCCGGGACAATCCCTGAGCCTTCCCTGGGGGAGGAGGAACCCCAGGAACGATCCCTGGGCCTTCCCCAGCCCAGCAGGGATCGCTCCCTGCGGGTGGATTTGGGGTGCTCGGGGGATGGGGCAGGGCCCCCAACTCAGCGGCAGCTCCGGGGACATGGGGAACACCCACCCACCGTGGCTCTGGGACCCCGTTCCCATGGGATTCCCATTCCTGTGGGATCCCTGTGGTTCTGGGATCCCCCATTCCCAAGGGATCCCCATTCCTGTGGGATCCCTGTGATTCTGGGATCCTCATTCCTGTGGGGTCCCCATTCCCATGGGATCCCCAGTACTGGAGACCCATTCCTGTGGGATCCCCTTTGGGATCCCTGGGATCCTCATTCCCATGGGATCCCTGTGACTGTGGGACCAGCCTGGTTTTTGGGATTCTCACGGGACCACCACAACTGTGGGACCCCCGTTCCCATGGGACCAGTGCAATTTCTGGGATCCCAGTGCCCCCGTTCCAGTGTAGTTTTTGGGGTTCCCGTGCAGTTTTTGGGATCCCAGTGCCCCCATTCCCGTGCAGTTTTTGGGATCCCAGTGCCCCCATTCCCGTGTGATTTGTGGGATCCCAGTGCCCCTGTTCCAGTGTAGTTTTTGGGGTTCCCGTGCAGTTTTTGGGACCCCAGTACCCCCATTCCCATGACCGTGGGCTCCCCCATTCCCGTGGCCCCCCCCCCCCCCCCCAGCTTTCAGCAATAACCAGGGTGACCCCCCCACACCCCTTGGTCCCCGTGCAGGGACAATTCCAGCCCCGGGGTGACCTGGGGACACCCCAAACCCACGGGAATTGTCACTTCCAGGGCCCGGAGCCGATCCCGTAACCGCGGGGCGTCGCGCCGTGCTCTGTATTCCTGCTTCGCTAATAAAGGGTGCAGCGCTTCCCTCGGGGGCAGTTCGGGGTGCTGGCCGGGGGTGGCAGCGCCACGAGCAGGACCGCGCGTCCCCAGGGCACGGGGGACGATTGTGGGGGCGCAGAGGGCTCCGGGGAGCGGGAGGTGACCCCGCTGTCCCCGCTGTCCCTAACCTCCCGTCTCCTTGCAGGTGCGCACGGCGGACATGGGGGGCTACTCCACCTCCCTGGATTTCACCCAGGCCGTGATAGATGCCCTGGAGGTTTAGTGGCCCCAGCCCCGCCGACTCCAATAAAGTGGCCTCAGGCGTGTGACCGTGCTGCTGCCGTCGTGTCCCTCGGCCCGGGCAGGCTGCCGGTGACAGGGTGACCCCGCTGGGGACAGCCTGCCACCCCCGGCCCCGGAGCAGGACAGGAGCGATCAGCAACAACCTCACAGCCCTTTATTGGGGTTTGGGGCACAGCCAGGGGTGGGGACACGGCTGGGGACAGCCCCAGGGAAAGGGGACACGGCTTGGGGACAGTCCCAGGGCCCCAAGAATGGGGACACAGCCCCAGGGCCCCAGGGAAAGGGGACACAGCCCGGGGACATGGCTGGGGACAGCCCCAGGTCCCTGAGGAAGGGGACCCAGCCTGGGGACCCCCTTGCAGCCCCAGCCCCCCGTGCAGGGCCGGGGGTTGGCAGTTCCGCTGTGTGAGGCACAGTCCGGGGGCTGCCGGTGGCCAGAGGGATCGGCCAGAGCCAGGCCACCAGAGAGATCAGCCAGGCCACCAGAGGGATCGGCCAGGCCACCAGAGGGATCAGCCAGGCCACCAGAGGCTGTGACAAGTTCCAGGTGCTGGGGACACCTCAGGAGCGTCTGTCAGTCTGTCAGTCCGTGTGCTCAGCTCGCTAATCCTCCTCCGAGTCCCGAGCTGCTGCCTTCTTCTTCTTCTTCTTTTTCTTCTTCTTTTCTTCCTCCTCCTCCTCCTCCTCGGGCTCCACCGTGATTTTCCTTTTCTTCTTAGGCAGTGGCTCCTCCTCCTCCTCTTCCTCCTCCACCCCGTTCTCCTCCGGCTCCGACTCCTCCTGCTGCTTCTTCTTTTTCTTCTTCTTCTTGGTGCCCACATCGTTCTCCTGGGGGGAGCCCCCGTCAGCTCTGCCCCATCCCCCTCCCCCCGTGGGGCCCCCAACACCTCCCCAGCCCCCCAAGGGTCTCCCCACCCCCTCACCTCTGTCTCCATCACCGAGTTCTCCGCCGGCTCCTCGGCAGCCGCTGCCAGGGCCTCCAGCCGCCGCTTCTCCCTCTTCTTCCTCTTCTTCTCCTTCTTCTCCTGCCTCCTCCTCACCTCAGCCACCACCTCGCTGGCCTGGGGACACGGGGGGTGAGCGGGGGACGCTCCCGGGGCGCGGCCACGGCCCGGCAGGATCAGACTCATTAAATCAGTCTTTGGCCTCCACAGCGGGTCAGGATGGCACAGTGACATCACCTCCGGCACGGGCCTGGCCTTCGTCCCCCCAGCACCTCACCATCTTCATCTTCATCATCCCCCCAGCACCTCATCATCATCATCTTCATCATCCCCCCAGCACCTCATCATCATCATCATCTTCATC